GACCTTCTTTCACCTGCAAGTCTCAAGATGTGCAAAACCCAAGGGTCAAGGCAGATAAGGCCCATAGAGCCTTGAGGTCCATATTGTTCCACCGATTGCCGTGGAATGGATTCTGACTCATAGTGACCCCATAGGACAGGGTAGAACAACCCCACAAGGTTCCCAAGGCTGTAAATGTCTATAGAAGCAGACTGTCACATCTTTCTCCCATTGAGCAGCTGGGGGGTTCAAACCGCCTACTTTATTTTGGTTAGCTGCCACACACTTAACCACCGTGCCACCAAAGTTCCTCTCCCGATGCTGTAAATTTATGCACTAACTTATTTAATCTTCACCACAACTCTATGAGGCAGCAACCACTATCCTCTCCAGTTAGAGGTGAGTGACCTGTTCAAAGTCAACAAGTTGGTAACTGGCAGAGCTTTGAACCTAGGCAGTCAGGTGCTGGGGCTGGCACTATGAACCACTGGGAAAAGCAGCCTCTTGATAAACGGGAATCATGCCTGCTGCTCTTCTGTCTGAATCAAAACATATTATGTTTCCTCAAACCTGTTCCTTGCGTCTCCAAGCTCCCTCACCCCACCCCATCTTGGTCCTTGGCACTACCATTCACCCAGGAAACAGACCCTACAGTCATCCTGGACACACACCTCCCTCCTCTATCCCCTCTCTTGCTCTCTCCACTCCTAGGACTGCATCTATCACCAGATCTCATCAAACTCAGGCCCTAGTCTCTAACCCAGTGGTTTTCAACCAGGAGTGATTCTGTGCCCCCAGGAAACATGTGACAATGTCTGGAGACATTTTTGGTTGTTACAACTGGGGGGATGCTACTGGCATCTAGAAGGTAGAGGCCAGGAATGTTGCTAAACATCTATCATGCACAGGGCAGCACCCACAATACAAGATGGTCTGCCCCAAATGGCAACAGTGCCAAGGCGGAGAGCCTGCTCTGTCCAAACCCTCCCCTCCATCCTCACCACTGGGGCTTTGACTCCTTCATCTCCTTGTCTCCTTCATTCTAGGCTCTGTCCAGTCATTGTAACAGTCTCTTAAAGACTCAGATCTTACCTGCTTTGCTCAATAGATAAAAAAGCCCCCAGACTCCCCAAGTTCAAAACTTAGTACAAAGCTACAGTAATCAAAACAGTGTGGTGTTGGCATAAGGATTGAGAACCAGAAATGAACTCTCTCATCTATGGTCAACTGATTTTTGACAAGAGCACCAAGAACCATTCAATGAGGAACATCTTCTCAACAAATGGTTGATCTGGGACAACTGGATCTCCACATGCAAAAGAATACAGTTAGGCTCTTACCTCACACCATATGCAATTATCACAAAATGGATCCAAGACATATATTCAGGAGCTAAAACTGTAAGACTCTTATAAGAAAATAGGGGCAAATCTTCATGACCTTGAGTTTGGCAATGTTTTTTTATAAATGACACCAAAGTACAGGAACAAAATAAAAAATAGGAAAAATAATGAAAACTTGCATGCCTCAAAAAACAATGCACAGAATGGCAGAAAATATTTGCAAATTATATATTGACTAAAGGAGCTCTGGTGGTGTAATGCCTAAGGCATCTGACTGCTAACCAGAAGGCTGGCGGTTCAAAGCCACCAGCCACTCCTCGGAAGGAAGGTTGGGCAATCTACTTCCATAGAGATACTACCTTGGAAATCCAAGGAGGAGTCGCTATGAGTCAGATACTACTCGACAGCAGTGAGCTTTTTATATTGACTAAAGACTACAGTTTGCAGTACGGATTACACTTCAACATAAAGAAAAGGAAAATCCTCACAACTAGACCAATAAGTAACATGACGATAAATGGAGAAAAGACTGAAGTTGGACCCACCACCAACATCCATGGACGCAGCAGTCAAGAAATAAGACACTGTATTGCACTGGGCAAATCTGCTGCAAAAGACCTCTTTCAAGTGCTGCAGAGCAAAGACCTCACTTTGAAGACTACGGTGCACCTAGCCCAAGCCATGGTATTTTCAGTCGCTTCCTATCCATGTGAAAACTGGACAATAAATAATGAAGACTGGAGAAGAGTTGATGCTTTTGAGTTGTGGTGTTGGAGAAGAACAGGGAAAGTCCCGTGGACTACAGAAGAACAAACAAGTCTGTTCTGGAAGAAGTGCAGCCAGAATGCTCCTTGGAAGCGAGAATAGCCAGACTTTGTCTCACCCACTTTGGTCATGTTGTCTGAAGGGACCATTCCCTAGAGAAGGGTCTCATGCTTGGTAAAGTGGAGGGTCAGCTAGGAGCTCTGGTAGCATAGTGGCTAAAGCACTTGACTGCTAACTAGAAGGCTGGTGGTTCAAACCCACCAGCCACTCCTCGGAAGGAAGGTTGGGCAATCCTACTTCCATAGTGATACTGCCTTGGAAACCCAAGGAGGGGTCGCTATGAGTCGGGGCCGACTCAACGGCACATAACAACAACAACAACAACAGCGAAAAAGGGTAAGACCCTCAACGAGATGGACTGACACAGTGGCTTCAGTGATGGGCTCAGGTATAGCAAGGATTATGAGGATGGCGGGAGCTCTGGTGGCATAGTGCCTAAGGCAATTTACTGCTAACCAGAAGGCTGGCGGTTCAAACCCACCAGCCACTCTTTGGAAGGAAGGTTGGGCAATCTACTTTCGTAGTGATACTGCCTTGGAAACCCAAGGAGGGATAGCTATGAGTCGGATCCAATTTGATGGCAATGGGTTTTGGGTTACGAGGATAGCACATGACTGGCAGTATTTCATTCTGCTGTACAAAGGGTCACTGTGAGTTGGAGCTGACTCGATGGCATCTAACAACAACAACAAAATATTGAGAATATATAAAAAACTCTTATAGCTCAGTAACAAAAAGCCCCCAAAGTTATCTTATGGGATAAGTGGGTTCACTGACCCCCTTGCTCACAGCCGGCCAAGGCTGCAGTGTCCTCGGTTCAGGTCCATGCTCCTGGGTTGCAGCCTCCCCTCTGCCAGAGGACCATTCCACCCCATAGCCCCAGGGCAAGCCTGGGGCTGAGGCATTGTGGGTGGACCACCCAGGATCTTAAATCCTCCAGGCTCTGGTCTCACCCTTCATCCCACCCTTCCCCACCCCCTCAGAAACTCTCCTTCCTCCTTGCCACTTCCACATCATGGAATTTCAGACTGTCAGACCCTTCCCTCCCTCTAGACTGTGAAGTCTACGGAGAACAGAGGTTCTGCCACTGTCATCTAAGACCACAGTGCCCACCCCAGGCTGCACATACAGTAAGTGCTCAAGGCATGCTTCTTGCACATGAGTGGAGGGAAGAAGGCAGGTCAGGAGAAAGGACCCCCAGGACCCCAGAGCCAGGCCAAGTATGGGGACTATCAGTAAGGGTGGCCCCACCTCAACCCCACCCCACCTGAGGAGACAATCTGGGGCGGTGGTCACCCCTCTTGACTGAGCATGTCTGTCCAGTTCCTCCTGGAACTGGCTACCTTCTCAGGGTGTGAAATCCCAGTAACATTCACTCAGGCCTCCCCCAACACACTAAGGTCACAAGAAGCCCGGTGAGTACAGGTAGAAGGTTCCAGATGTCCCAAGACCCTTATTCCCAACATCCACAACCCCATCTCCCCTTGAGGCCCAAAAGCCCTCCCCAAAGCTTCCTTCAGTGAATGGAGGAGACTTCTCGCCTTAGAAAAGCCCTAATTCCAGGGGTGAATGGCCACACAGCACAACTCACTCCAGCAACACTGGGGCAGGAAGTCAGAGGAAACAGCAGGTGATGGGGGACCCCTGACCCACCTCAACTGAGGCCCTGAGGGCTCCCCCAGTGAGATCTGAAGAGCCCAGGGAGAAGCCCTGGGAAGCAACAGTTGACATTCCTGGCCCGGCACTTGTTTTCCTGATTCCAGTCACCCCTCACAGTTCCAGTCACCCCAGTCCCAGTCAAGCAGCACATAAGTGGCAAAGCTGGATTTGAACTGAACAATCCGACCTCTCCACTTCTTATCCCAACAAAACACAGCCCAAGAGGAGAATTTTATATTTTTCAAAAGGAGACACAACTTCCTAGCCTATCCAGGCTAAGACCCTCTGGGTCCTCCATGGGGAACACAGCCCTCACACCTGAGCCCCTAGAGACAGACAGTCCCATAGACACATCCTGGAGGGCTTCCAGGCCCCCAGGGAAGAGCAGAAAGGTGCTCTTCCTCCCTGTACCCCACTTTCAGGGCGAACAGAGGACAGCCAGAGGGAAGCTGGGCAAGGGGGCCAAGGACCTACATCAAAGCAGAGGGGAGGGAGCTCAGCCTCTTTTATGACTGAAACGACTCCAGATTGCTAGCTGGTTTACAGGCCTGTGCCAGCCCCCCAGGCACCAGCCTCCCTCAGGAAGCCCAGGGGAGCTGGAACACATCCTGTGATCTCGGGTGACAGGTCACTCCCGCTCAGGGGGCCCTTGAGAGCGGGTTTCACATTAGTTGGGGTAGTCAAATGCCCATTCCAGCATGTTCTTCCTGGCCCCTCTCCCATCCACCCAGCCTACCACTGGGAGTCCACATTTAGGGAAAGCTGTGTTCATCTTCTGGGAGAATTTGAGGACAGAGGGAACAGCCATGGCTCGTGGGTCCTGGGTTCCAAGTGACCCGGCATCGCACGGCTATCATTACCTCTAGCAGGGTTCTACTTCCTTTCATCTCCCACCTCTCTGTGACAAGGTAGGCAGGGCAGATCATTCTGGCCTCATTTTGCAGGTAGGGAAACTGAGGCTCAAGGAGGCAACGAGAGACTCGAGACAAGATTCCAGGAGTCCCCACACCTGGGCATCCTACTACCCTTTCCCAGAGAACCTCTCTAACCAGCCCCAGTCACAAGGCATTTCAGGGTGTCCCAAGGAGGGACCTAATCCAGGTAAAGGAAACCAACCCATCAGGATACAGCAACCCCCAGACTCAGCCTCCACCCCCAACTCTGAAACCTGGCTCCTTTCTGCTTCCCCCTCACCTTGTTGAACTGGAAGAGCTCCTGCTTAAGCCTCTCCCGCTCTGGGTCAGGGCCTGACCGCAGGAACCGCCTCATCTTGCTTTGTTTGCAGTGCCCTCAGAGACCTAGAGAGAGGGAACCGGAGGAGCCGTTGAGTACCAGGCATGGGCAAACACACTGTCCCCATCCCCAGGGACAGAGCCACCTGCCACTCAGCACAGGAACCAGTCCAGTGCCACCATCTACCAGCCAGGCCCCATCGCTTCCCCAGGCTCTGTGGTGTGGGGTCTGGAGGTACCTGGAGACTGGGGCTAGTTGATGCTCTACACTGGTTCCTGACAACTGGTGGCCTTATAATTCCAGTGGAGAAGCTGGGGGAGGGAGCCATTCAGCCTGGCTTTATAGGAACCAGGAAGGCTGGAAGGCCCGGGGTTAATTAGCTTAATTGTTAACCTGTTTTCTGAAAAACCATAAAACTCCAGATAAACGAAAGGGAAACTTCACAAGCTTCTCTCTTCAGAGTGAGGAGGGTAGAATGCAAAAGCTGTCAGGGCTAGGGCCCCAGATCAGAGCCCACATGGGGGCTGGGGTACTTCCGGGCCAGGGACCGGAAGGGACACCCAGGCAGTGCATACCTGGTCTATTCCCGCTCCTCACTTCAGGGGGCTGTCAGGACCTCCCCTTTTGGCAGAGGGCGCTCCAACCGGCCACAGCCGCCCGAAACCACAGTGGACAAGGAGATGGAACTTGGTCAGGCGGGCTGTACCTCCCACTGCGCATGAGGGATCCCACCAAGCTCCCCAGCTGACCTGCCCCACCCCCACCAGCTCCAGCCCTCCCAGTCCCAACTCCTTTGGGCTCTGATGGGGTACACTCAGAGAGGCCCCCTTTCTCAGGGGCCAAGGGGAATGCCATCAGGACACCAAACCTGCTCCCGATGAAGAAACCAGATCAGGGCCCCAGAATGTCCGCCCACCATAGGATGTACTCCCAAACCAAAGGGAACTATTTCTGGATTAGCCTTGGGGGAGGGGAGGATTGTCTGGGCTCCAGCTTCCGGCTCCAGGAGCACGGTCTCCCGCTGGCCACAGGCACCACAGGGCCTGTGCTGGGAACACTGGGGTCAGGCCCACCCCGGAAATGGCTCCGTCCCTCTCAGGGCTCGGGACAGTCTCCTGGTTGGCTCCATTCATTCTGTGCTAGACTGTAAAAGAGGGGACAGTCTGGTCCCCAGCCTGGAGGAGCTCACTGTAGAACAGGGGCAGGTAGAGACAAGACAACCCAGGGTGCTATGGACTGGATGGAGGGGCCAGAAGGGGCACCTCCAGCAAACTGGCAGGGGGGTACACCCGAAGACACCTAAGCCGAGGCCTGAAGGATGCCTCGAAGATTCCAGGTTCTCGGGAGGTGGGAAGAATGAATTATCAGGCCAGGACTTTTTGTACGAAAGGACCCTGTTAGGGGCTCCCTCGAGGCTGGAGGGGGCCAAGAGCCGGCATGCAAGGCCAAGTTGGGAGGGTGCTGTGGGGAGGGGCCACCCCACTCCACATTCATGTTGTAATAGAGAGGCTGAAACTCATGCCAGCAAATGAATGGGACCCTGCAAATGAAATGTCAGCCTGCCACACAGGAGGACCAGCCCTCAGAGCCCCCAGCAGTAGCCTTCTGGGGAAACCAAAAATGCGAGCACCTACGGGAGGGGAAAGGAGCTCTGGTAGCATAGTGCCTAAGGCACTTGCCTGCTAACCAGAAGGCTAGCGGTTCAAACCCACCAGCCACTCCTCCGAAGGAAGGTTGGGCGATCTACTTCCATAGTGATACTGCCTCAGAAACCCAAGGGGGGTAGCTATGAGTCGGGGCTGACTCGATGGCAAATAACAACAACAACAACAACAACAACGGGAGGGGAAGAGAGAGGTGTCCACGAAAGGTTTGAGGCTTCATGTTTTGAGAGCCTTGACTGGAGGCTGGCCTGGTGGGGTTAGCCCAGCGCCGGGAGCGCCCCGCTTCCCTAGGAACAGCAGAGGTGGGGAGCTCCTTCCCAGGTGTGCATTTGCTCCAGGCTCACAGTGATCTCAGAGAGCAAACAAGAACTGGGAAAGCCCTAGAGGTTTCTGGAACTGGCCAGGAAAACAGACTCGGGGCCTGTAGCCATCTCAGGTCGCCTGGACAAACAGCCCTGCTGCCCTCCTCACATTCCAGCTGTGGGGGAGGGGTGGGGGAGGGGTGGGGGAGGGCCGGGCAAGCTCATACATCAGCTGTTGCTGGGTGCCCCCACCCCCCTGCCTGGGGCACTGGGTCAGGAGTCCAGGAAGTGGAGAGGGACGCCTGGAGAAGGCCAGGGGCTTGCAGGCTCAGAGGAGGCAGACTTGGGGTTTGCCCTGCAAGACTCCTGCAGGCCGTGGGGTGGGCAGGAGCCCAGAAGGCAGGGAGAGGCCACGAGGGCACAGGGCCATGTGTGCCAGGGGCCCCACACAGGGTCCGGAATCTGAGGCAGTATCTTACCCACAAGCCTCCGGGAGGGGGAGAGAGGTGGGAAGAAGACAGGAGCTACAGGAGATTCCCCCTCAGCCAGCCTGGAGCTCAGCACCTGCGTCCACACACACACCGTGTGGAGCACCTGTCACACCCAGGCATTGTACCGAACCCTCCGCGTGTTATTTGTTAGAAAATTTGTGCTCACTTTTCTACAACACCATTATAAAAAGAAAGCAAAAAGTATGGACAAACGTTCGTCCCTAAGTCCCCCCACCCAGAGGTAACTCCAGTGACGTGCAGTGACGCAGTGACTATCTTGACCGGTGTATTGGTTCCCTAGTGCCACTCTGACAAGAATTTACCACCAACAGGATGGCTTGAACAAACAGGAGTTTATTCTCCTACAGTTTGGAGGCTTTACATCTGAGTTCAAAGTGCCAGGCTCTAGGGGCTGGGTGAAAGCCCCTCAACCTTAGGCTTCAGCCCTGCCTCCTGCTCCAGCCTACTGAAGCTGGAGGCTTTTCTTCACTCAGCTGCCAGCTGCTGAGGCTGAGAAGCCCAAGGCTGACAAGTAAAAAGGCACAGTCCCAATGTTACCAAACCACACGGCAGACCATGAATTCAAGACCACTGAAAGTCCCAAGGTCAGCAGAGCATGGCAGGCTGCTGAACGACACTGCTACGTGCAGGGTCCAAGCGTGCCATAAGCCAGAGACTGTTCCCAAAGCTGTTTCTTAAATACGGGAAGCAGACCACAGTCCCTAAAGCAGCTACTCAGCTGCTTGTGGTAGATTCCACCATGGAGTTGATTGCCTGTCTCATCATGGGGAATAACTATCACCTGCTGCCCAGCCACTCAACCAGGCCCAGCCAAGTTGACACACAAACTTAACCACCACAACCAGCATCTGCCCCTTGCACTTCTAGGTGTGAGCTCGTGTGTGAAATTCCCCACCCTGAAGCCACTGAAAGGAATCTCCCCACTTGATCCATGAGGAAACAAAGACCACAGGGGCCAAACAACTAGTCCAAGGTCATCAAGTAGCAAGCGGCAGAACTTAGGCTTGACCCCATATCTGGCTAACTCATAAACCAAAGGACTTTGAGAGGCAGCAAGGATGGGTCTTCCAAGGCAGTTGTGTTGTTAGGTGTCGTTAGTCAGCTCCGACTCATAGCGACCCCATGTACAACAGAACGAAACACTGTCCGGTCCTGCACCAGCCTCACAATCCTCCACGCCTGAGTCCATCGTTGCAGCCACATGTCAGTCCATCCC